TTTACTTACCCAGGTCTGGCAATTAACTCACATACAAAGAGTTTTAGGGGTCTCATGGTGACCAAGAGACTGTAGCAATGTGGTCTCCCAGAGTGCAGGGTATGGCAGATGAGCTCTGGGGAATCTGGCTGTGGAGCTTCAACCCACAGCCACGTCACAGTGTTTCTCCAGCTCTTCCAGGATCACCACTGCCTCAGCTGGGAATGGTAAGGGCTGTGTGCTGGCACATCAGCTGTTCCCGTTCTTAGCTCAGCATATAATTTTAAATATGGCTTTATCAGCAGTTTCCACAAAGAAATTTATCTGAGGCTTGAGTACACTCTGCTTGTGGTTACCTCTAGCACCCTTTTAACATCTTCACCAGAGCAATCTTGCTCAGCAGGCTGGGGCATTTACTTTGTTTCAAGGGTGATGATGGAACATTTCTGTTTTCTAAAACATGCAGATAGGATTCACTGTTGTTTTCAGTTCAAGTCAACAGCAAAAATTCCACTGATTTTAGTGGAAGCATCAGCTGATCATGGTCATTTTTTATGTTGCTGCTGAGTATTGGTGTTGGAAAGACGTTGGGAGCTTTCCATCCAAAAGCAAGTAGGTTAATCCTGCAATTAATTTTAAGAACTACATTTTGCCAGCTTTTAGTCAGAACTCTTTTCCTCTGACCTTTAAGGAATCAGCTAGCGATCTAACATGCATAAGGTTGTGCAAGCCACAAACTGCAAGAGCACTATCCTGTTTAATCTAGGAATAGAATGTAAATTGTTATTATTTACACGGTAGAGAGGAAAACCCATCTCCCCTGAGCTGCTAGTGACACTCTTCCTAATGCAGCCCAGGCTGCTGTTGGACTTTTTTGCTGTGATGGTGCTATTGCTGTTCTGTGTCAAACTTGTTGTCCACCAGGACCCCAAAGTCCTCCTCTGCAGGGCTGCTTTCCACCAGGTTACTCCCCAGCCTCTCCTGGTGCATGGGGCTGTTCCACCCCAGGTGAAGGACTTTGCATTTCAGTTTGCTGAACTTCATGAGATTCCAGCAGGCCCATTTCAGCAGCCTGCTCAGGTCCCATGGGAAACAGACCCACTGTCACAACCCAGGCCTAGGAAACAGACAGGCTTGGTTTCTTTTTTCTTCTAGGTGGAATAGCACTAAGAATGTTAAAGCAAGTGTGTGTGTGGGGTGAAAACAGTGGTTGTTCATGGTACTCCATGTTCTGAACACAGCCTTAGCTGTGCAAAGCTGTGTTACCTCTTTGACTGTGTAATGCCTAGGGGTTTATTTCTGTTCTTGGACTGGATAGACAAAAACTTCAAATCAGGAGAAAGGCCTGAAAAGGCCACGAGAATACTGTTTATAGAAAAATGCAGTCTGTGATCTTCCTTTTCCAGAAAACTGCAAATATTTGGAGGAATCATGTTCTGCCTTTGTACAGCCATGCATAAAAAGCTTGTTGAGATCCCTGGTCTACCATTTCTGGTCATTACCATAGGCACTGACAGAGAGTAAGTGAAATGTGCATGCTTTCTTTACAAAGTCTTCAAATATGTTCACCTCCAAATTAAAATTCCCTCTTGGAAAGGTGGTACATGACTAAAGCATTGCTGTTGGAGTGTCCTTGGCTCCTCCGAAGTGAGCTGAGTGCTCATCTAATGGATAAAACAAATTATTTTTGTTTCAACAAATGCAGATGATGTAGAGAAGTATACTCCTGACCACAGTTTGAGACTGAAACAAGCAGGAAACTCTGCAGAGGATGAAATAGGTGATGCTGCTGAAGGATGGTAAGAAAAAGAGAGGGGTTAGCTACCGAGCCATTCGATGTGAGATTCGACGTTTAAATGAAGGCATGGGATAGAGATGTCTACTGCAGACCTAGCTTGCTGTATTACTGATAGGAAGAAAACAGGACTCCTAAGGTACATGTTGATGTCTTTTAAGCATCCACTTAAAATGAGATTACCCTTGCCCCTGGAGCGCTCACTTTTCTATGCTGGTTATACAAGGAGTCCAGAACAGCCATAACAGATGTAAATGCCTATCCTGTAGATGCAGATGTCTAAAAAGTGAGGTTAATCTGCTATGTAACCACAGACAAGCCAGTTACTAGCTACCTTAGACTACCTTATGGCTACATTCCAAAATTTTTCCTACACTGAAGACAGGCCACACTCCTGTGCCAGGCGGTGCTTCAACCCTGGCCCAGGCTGCCCAGAGAGGGGCTGGGGGCTCCTCGGGGAGGTCTCCAGCAGCTGCCGGGACGTGGGGCTGGGCACCCTGCTCGGGGGGCTGCTGGGCCGGGGGGACCAGAGGCACCTGGGACTCCCTGCCCTCCCTGACCAGTCTGTGAGTCTGATAAATATGATGGGATCATGTCCTCAACTAAGCTACACTGGCCAGCCTTCCCATGTGTGTGCAACTTTAATATGCAAAAAAAATGCTCATGCCACCTTTACTGATAATTTATGCTGCTGCTGAAGATGACTTACCTGCGTTAATGAAGGAGTCCTTTGTGCTGGCGTAAAGCGTGCACAGTACTGTGCATTCTATAGAAAAACTTGGAGGGGAACACCTTTGCAGACTTGGTACAATGATAAATACGTTCACGTGAACAAAACATTACACAAAGTGCAAGGTATGCTTGCGGAACTAGATATCTTTGACAGAGATTTTCTGAGATAGAAGTTACGAGTGAGGCTGCAGTGATCTTGACAGTAGTAATTGCAACTAAAGTGGACTTGAAGGAAGATTTTTATTGCAGTTTGCTCTGCTGGGGCCTTCCCAGGATAGCAACGTTGTTACCCACACGTTCAGATGAAAGGGTCAAACTTCTATGGCATTAACCAAATCTTTCTGGCATGGCAGGGCTGAGAGTTTCACAGTATAAATGCAAAGGACACAAAGGGAAGGTATGATGATAAATGGTTATTCACTATTCCTTTAAATAAAATATTTTGAAGTTTGACATCCCTAGAGTTTGTCATTTAGCCAATGTATATGTAAAATAAATATTTATATATGTAGTCTCTAAGATCATTTGTGTCTACACATGTTCATACAGTTTGATTAATTCATTTTCTTCTTCAGCCGAGGGAAATGACTGGCTGAAGCGAGAGTTATTGCAATGTAGTGAAGTTTTCAGTGCAGAGTGACTGTACAAGCTAAGCAGAGTTTTGACAGAATGGCAAGAATTAAACAAATGGTGACCTGGGAAATCCTGTTCCCTGGTTATGGACTGCTGTGAAATTGTCTGAGTGACATTTATGAAACAACTCTGAATTACTGTATAAAATAAAGGGACACAATCGATCAAATGACAGATGAATTGACAGCAAGAATGATGCATGGAAGAGTAACTGCGTAACATTCTATTTTACCTACTAATACGCTGAAACAATTTAATATGTCATGAAGTTTTGCAGTATACAGTGTCTGTTCTGCAAATCATGTATTGTTCTGTGCTTGTGCCTCTAAGTGGTAGAATTTCAGACATGCTTATGTATGTGGGTAGGTAAGAGATTTGTTTCAAGGCTAGTGCTTTTGGTTTTTATTCTTTCAGTGGGGTTCAATTATTTTTTTTGGCACGATAAATTCCAAGATTACTGCCAAACGTATGATGTGGACACAACAGGGCTTCATGTCGTTCTATTCAGGTCTCTGATGAATATGCCGTTTTATCCTCCCAAAGTAATTGCAGCATATTGTATTGCTAGTGTGCTCTAGGGTTCTACTAGGAAAATCACTTTCTAGATCTTTACCGAAGAGAGAAACAGATAAGTTTTCAGCCCAGTTAGCTGCCAGGAAGAAACTCTCGATTCCCTAAATATCCCCCACTGCTGTACTCCAAAACCCCCCACCAAAATATATTCTTATTTAGAGATACTTTAGAATATAGTTGGATACTACACAGAAACAAAAATCGAGTGCTTCTTCCTCTGTATCATCATTTAACTTAACAAGAATACAAAATATGCTTATTTAAGTTCTTCTAAAGTTCATCTCAGAAATATTTTGCTGGCATACAACACCTGATCAGTGTATTTGCTTTGTGTAACTGAGGAAGCTCACATACCTTTCCCAGTTAATGTGCCAGGTTTTACTTTGTCTATGCTGAAGCACATACACTACCAAAAAAAACCAAAACCAAGCAAATAGAAAACAACAGCACAAACCGAACTTCACCTCTCCCGCACGACTCCAAGGCCATCTCCTTTACGAGGCTCTGAACCCACTCACCGTTAAGTCGCTCGTACTCCCAGGTTAGGCAAGCGGACTAGAAAGGAGCTCGGAAACGAGGAGCTACGAAAAGGCCGGGACGAAACGCGAGGGCGGTGTGTTCGCGCAACCGAGCGAACACACGGTGCCCCCCCCGCTGCTCGCTGCCTCCGGGAGCGGGGGGGGGCGAGCGGCGGGACCGAAGGCGGCTCCCGGGCCCTGCCGGCCGCCTGAGGCGGGGGCGCGGGGCCCGGCAGTGGCCGCGTCCTCGCCTCGGCGGCTCCGCCCGGCCGGCGGCCTGCGGCTGCCTCGCGGCGGGGCTCGTGCCGTGAGGGAGCCGTGTCAGTGCCTGTCTGCTGGCTTGCTTTCTACGGGGCTCGCGACCGGCCTCAAAGGCGCAGACAGAGCCTGCGTACGCGGGGCCCCTGCTGAGGCGGCGGCTGCGGCGGCGAGGGCCGGAGCGCCCTTCTCCCCTCGGCCGCGTAGCGGGACGCCGGGCGGGCGGGCGGGCGACCGCGGGGATGGCTCAGCCACGCTCGGCTCCCCTCGGCCCCGCCCGTGGCCAGGAGCGCGCCGCCGGCCGGCGGGAACCCGGCGGGAACCCCCGTGGCACGGCCCCTCAGGCGCCCTGAGGCAGAGGCCCGGACCCCGCTCCCGCGGGAGGGCCGCGCACCCGCCGGGCCGAGCAGCGGCGGCGGCTCCGGTGGCCGCAGGGCGAGGCCCGGCCCGGCCCGGCCCCGCCCCGCCCCGCCCCGCCGGGCCCGGCCCCGCGCTCGGCCAATCGCGCGGCGCCCTGTTGGCTGTGCCCGGCGGCCCGCAGCACGGCCCAAGATGGCGGCGCGCGCGCGGAGGGGCGGCCTGGCGGTGGCTCTCGTGGCCGGTGCCCTGCTCGCCCTGGGGCGGGCGGCGGCAGAGGGGGGCTCGGCGGCGGCGCCTCCGCACCGCCGGTTCGAGTACAAGTACAGCTTCAAGGGGCCGCACCTGGTGCAGGCGGACGGCACGGTGCCGTTCTGGGCGCATACGGGCAGTAAGTGCTGGGCGGGGGGCAACCGCGCAGGGGGCTGCGGCCGGCCGGCCGGCGACGGTGCCCGGGGAACGGAACGGAACGGAACGGGCGGGCGGAGCCGCGGCGGGCTGGGCTGGGGCTGGGGCTGGGCTGGGGCCGGGGCCGGGGCCGGGGCCGGGGCCGGGAGCCACGGCGCAGGTGGCCGGAGCCGGCCGGCCGCGGCCGGGCAGGTTGCAGGCTCGTAACCGGGGGCGGTTCCGAGGAGCCTCGGCGGTAGCGGGGAAGCGCCGGCGGCCGCTCCGGAGCTGCCCGAGACCGGTCCGGAGGTGTCGACGTGTCCCTGCGGGCGGCCAGCCGCCAGCCCCCCTGCTGGCTGCGGTGCGAGGGCCGCGCGGCTCGGCTCCGCCGGGCTCCGGCTGCGCCCACGGGGCAGCGGCCCCCGGTCGCCGGCGAGGTCTCCGTCCCGACGCCCCCCTCCCGCTGTGAATCGCGGCGGCGCTTTGGGCCTTCCTGGCCGGTAGCTTCGGCCGTAGCGCTAACTTCTGTTCGCTTTCTGCCGGATTTTAATTTAGCTCGTTTTGGTTGCCTCGAGAGTGTTACGTTTTAGCTCTGAAGGCTGTTCGATGTTAACGTGAAGTTACAGGTGACAGGGAGGAAACTGTCTGCATGTTACGTTCTTGCTTGCTTTTTTTAAGCCAAACAGATGTCATTTCATAAGTGTGAATGACTCCTCACTCCTCCCTTCTTTCTCCCTCAACTCGTGCCTCTTTTTTCTTTAAACCGCTAAACAGAAGACTGGAACATCTGTTCGTAAAAAGCAGGAGGGAAAACAGTGACTTGTGGAAAAAATCACACGATGCTTAAGGCAGGAAACAAAATCTGACTTTTTTTTTTTTTAAACTTAATTAGTATCTTAACGACAAGACCATGTTCTATTCAAGTTGTTCATCGCACTACCAAATGGAAGGTGAACAAGTACTCTGTAAAAGAACAGTCATTAACTTCTTAGGAGTAAGGATGGCGTTGGATGTTTTTTTTTTTTCGTTTGTTTTGTTTTAATTCTCAAGTGATAGAGTATTCCATTAAAAAGCTGTTCTGAAAACTCGAGCTGAAGTGACTGGACAATTTTGTGAATTTAGAGGACTTGTTAAATGGCTGGTTGCACATTCACAATACTTTTTATTATATTTAACGTTGGTTCCTTTCTTTTCTAGATGCAATACCAAGTGCAGATCAGATTCGAATAACAACTTCTTTGAAAAGCCAACGAGGATCAGTGTGGACAAAAAACAAGTCAATATTTGAATATTGGGAAGTTGAAGTGACCTTTCGAGTTACAGGAAGAGGCCGCATTGGAGCTGATGGACTGGTATTAAAAATTTGATCTAAGTTTAAAAAATAGACGTACTTCAAAAAGTGGCTCTTGACTTACAGCTCTTAATTTCTTTCTGCAATAGGCAATCTGGTTTACAGAAGAGCAAGGCATGGAAGGTCCTGTTTTTGGGGCAGCTGATAAGTGGAATGGTGTTGGAATCTTCTTTGATTCCTTTGACAATGACGGAAAGGTTAGTTGGAAGTAAACTCTTCTAACAGAGAGATAAAATTAATTTCCTGCCTGTTTGGTACATACAGCTTTGTGGGGAAAAAATAGAATGCCGTTTTCCTATTTCCCTCCATCTTTCACTTAAAGGGCTGGTTTAAAATAGTCATGTTTTCCTTAATACAATTTCAGCTTGACCTTTTCTATATACTTTTTCAAGTGTGTCACTTTTTCTTTTTTTTTGGGGGGGGGGGAGAGTGGGTAGGAAGTTCAAGCTTGAAAGTTGGAGTGTAACACATAATGAATCTACTGAATATTAGCTCATCTGTTAGGTTTGGAGGAAAAATGCATTGCACATATGTATAAGCTGAAATTTGGAATGTCCATGCACAGTTCGCAGTGTTGATAAACCTGAAGAGTTATGCTTTGGAAGAGGCATGTTGTACAAAACATGCTACTGTGGAAGCAGATTTATGTGTCTCTTAGCAGAGATGCTCTTTTTTTGTGGAACAAATCTGCCTTGAGCAGCTTGGTAGCATCTGTGGCAATGATGATAGTTGCTGTTTGTTGTTTTTTTTCCTACTTTCATCTAAAAATCAGTAACATTGCTATAGGTACCTGCTTTTGAGTTTTCAGTTTTCCAGTCCAGAATGCATCAAAGGTCCTCAGAAACTCTAACAATCTGCAGTTGGTCTGCTTTGCTTTTCTGGTACTGCTTTGGCTTTTTTCTACTGTTCTAGCTACTTATTTGTAGGTGTAAAGGTTTAGTGTGTTGTTTTTTCTTTTTCCTGCAGATGGGTTTCAATATACAGTAAACTTAAAAGCTGACAGACTGAAGGTGACGTTTATGATTTAGATCTTGAAAGACAAGAATTGGAGTGTTGTTCAACTTGCTAAGAATTTTAAAAGCTTTTCTGTCTTCTGACAGGGCTGTGGACTTTTGCATAGTTTAGCTGGCTGAAAAGACCATCTGTCAAAATTTGCATGTGGATGGTTCTGTTTTCCAGGACTCTTTTAGGTGTTTTTTGTTTTTTTTTTTTTTTTTAGAAGGTGATGATGTGTCACTTCTAGTCAAAACGAAAGTCTGTGCCATGCCTGCATTGGTCTGACGTGTCTTAAATACTGGAGTCTGTAAGACTTCTTTGATGATAGCCTGTTACATTCTTCAGTCCCAGTATGGAGAAAACCTTCCTGGTACTGTTTTTTGTATGTTTGCTGGAAGGTGCCTAGGATGTAGCTGAACATCAGCCTAATATGTTAGCGTTCAGAAGTAGACTTCACCTAGTACTTCCAACTCAAAGCGACCTAGTTATGATGTTGATTCTAAAAATTGCAAAGCCTTTTTTTTTCACTTCTTTCTAAGGCTGCAGGCTATCCTAGAGTTGGATTTTTATTTCTCTGTAGACATGGTGAAAAGAGCTTTTCAAAAAGGAAAAAAAAGTTTTATAGCTCTGAACAGCTGAAATAGTAAGAACCACACTAAATAGAATCATAGAATCATTTAGGTTGGAAAAGGTACTATGTTAGTATCTGTCTGCTATGCTCTAAAGGGTACTAGGCGTGGGTTGCATTCATTAATGCTATGAAATTGAACTGGTTTTACACACTTTCTGCAGAATATATGCAAATATGTTTGAAATAATACAATAATACTGTTGTTACACTAGAATAGACTGTTAAGAAGATGCTGTTTAAGTATTTTGGTGGTACTGAGCAGGCGTAATGCTGATACTGAAGCAATTCATCTAATCAAAATCAATTGCTGAGAAGTAGAAACTATGGTGTATTTCTCTACACCATGCACAGTTCTGTTGTCCCAGTGTAAGTGATGAGGGAAAGCAATCGCATACTTCAGTTGTAGTGGTCTCAAAGTATTAAAGAAAAAGGACCACTTGCTCCCTGTCACTGTGAATAGAGAAATATGTCGTTTATTGGATTCTTGAAATCCACGTTTTGTTTTCTTAAGAGTTGGGAATCTGTCCAATTGGACAGTAAATTCCTGTGGGAAATAATGAATGGTAATGTTGAAGGGAAAGTAGAGATTATCTCTGAAAACTCGTGCTCCTGTAAAAACAAGAGTTAACTTTCTAAACTCCTCTAGGCATCTGGAAGAGCACTGTAAATTTGTTCTGCTCTTCCCATTTCAGCTTGTTCTCATTTTCTAGCAGTTTAAATAACGGGATATGTTTGTTTAGCCAGTGACAGATAGCTCCTGAGTTCTTTTTGTAATGACTGATAAAGTCAGCAAGATGTCAACATACAGCCTGTTTGAATGTTTTTCTGAGTTACGTAGACAAAGTCAGATGTAGTAAGTCATCTAAGAGTTCTAAGATCTGTATATTTGCTACATATAAAATCTATAGATGAATTTATATTTCTGTATTTATCAAATGATGCTATTCAGTGGCATAGCCAAGGACTTATTTTTTTTCCCCACCCCTAGCTATACAAAGAACATACCCGTCTCTTGCAAAGTATGCAGGATGACACACTACTTCAGTCATCTTGCTTTCTGTACTTAAAGATGACATGACTTCTAGGTTTTCCTTCACAGGAAGGCTATCAGTGATGTCACATAGTTCTCTTTGAATTAAACTATCCCATTTGTTTGCTATTTGTTTTTCTAGAAAAACAATCCTGGAGTGATTGTTGTAGGCAACAATGGAAATCTTCTGTATGACCATCAGAAGTAAGTTTATTTTCAATGTTGACTGAATGACAAATGTTTGTTTTTGAATGATGAAGTGTTGCATGAAACTCTCCAAGACACATTTTAAAGGGTTATTTTATATGGAACTCTGTTTATGTATTCCTTTATATCTACGGTTTTCTGTTTGTTAAAACACTGTTTTAACAGCACAGAAATGGGCAACTGATTTAAGTGTTACGTGGCCTTAGGTGTGGGTGAACTCAGACAAGTGGATGTACGGACTTTTTACCTCTTCACTGCTTATGGGGGTGTTCCGTATGCAGCTTATAGATGACGAGTGATTAGCTGAAAACTAATTGCCTCTTAGTAAATTAATAATTAATTGGTTTAATTTTGATTTCTGATGGTCTGTTGTCAACAGCACAATTACTTTTTTTTTTTTTTGGGGGGGGGGGGAGGAGGTAGTTTTGGGAAGAGAGGCATTTAGTTTAGCTGGTGTGGTCCAGCCTATAGTTAGTTTACAGGTGCAGGAATATGTCTTAAAAGCAGACTTCCCCATTGCTGTTTCTACCTATAGTAGAAACCACCTGGTACTGTTGAGCCCAGACTTCAGAAAAGCTCAATACAACTGAGAGACATCTTTTGCAACAGCTTTTAGATTTTGAAAAAATAGTGTGATGCTTCTTAGTGATACAATGATGCTTTTTTGTCTTAGCTGATATATCATAAGATATAGTTTTATGCAAGTTGTCTTCTTGCATAGTGATGGTTCCACTCAAGCATTGGCCTCCTGTCAGAGGGACTTCCGTAATAAACCCTACCCTGTTCGAGCAAAAATTACATACTACCAAAAAACACTGACTGTAAGTACTCTGAAGTGATCTAATTAACTCATGTTTCTCAGTTTTTCAAGTGTGGGGTTGGGGGTTTGAAATAGTTGCTACAAAGGCCTCTTATGCTAATTTGAATATTCTTGAAAAAGTTGAGCTCAGTAGCTTGGAAGCTGGAACGAGGTGCAGTATGTTCGAATACTAGACAAGTTCTTTCAGCACATCTGTAGCTTTCTGAGCTGACTTAGCAGGTATTGCTGATTTCTCTGATGTTACGTGGGGTTCAGTCATGCTGCTGTATTCATACATGTATGTGCTCCGACCCTGCTGTGTTGCTGTTGACTGGCCTGTAAATGTGTCCCAAAGCCAGCGTATGTTCTTCAGCTTTCACACAGTTGAGCAGCCCCTGCACTTGAGCATATTTCTCAAGCTGATCAGAGAGCTTCCAGTTGACTGTAGGGGATTCTTAAAATATGATTAAGAAAAGACAGCTCTTTGACAGCACACTTAAATTTGTTGCTTGAGAATTCCCACCTCCAAGAAGCAGGAGGACTTTCTATGTTAAAGAAGATAGAAAACCACTAGTGTAAGGGGGTGTTTAAGACTTCTTAAATACTATTTGGATGATTGCCTCCTAGATACGGGGACAAAAATGCTAATGTGGTGCTGGGTTGGGATAGCTATGAAGTATTTCTTTCTTGGCTTCTGATTTCTACTGAAAAGATACTGTTCATAGGCATTAGTCAGTTACAACATGCGGCTATCACTTTTTAGTAAAAGTTTCTCTAAAAGTAAACATGAGGGCACCTAAAAAAGTGGACCTTGTACTCAGTTGTAATGCTAAAAGCTATGTGTTAGTCTTTAATGAAAATTAAATTGCAGACTGAGGCTGCTCTCTTTTTGAATATGCCCAGTCGCTGATGCCTTATCTAGAAGCTCCTCACCCAAGTGGTACAGCTAACCTTAGCGGTTCTTGGAATGCTTTGGTGGAGGAAGAGAGAATCTCTAAGCTTAGGGTCGACTGAAGAGCAGTAAGGATGACTGTACTAGGCTGGACCAAAAATATGTGTTGCCCAGAATCCTATTGGGATATATACTTGATAGATTGGCCTTTAGTGATCACTGAGTCACAGATTTCTTCAACAAGAGTTAGTATTATTAGATCTTGATGAATTTTTCCATGTATTAATTTGTTTTGCTGTTTCTTTTAACAGATAAGTAAGTTTTTATCTCTCTTACGTCTGTATAATATGTCCTCTTAAGCAATGAATAGAAAATATGGAATTCTGTTCATGTTGAACTTTGAATCAGGCCTTTCTTCTTTAAAATAAAAGCTTATGCTTTTTTCTAGTAGAACCTTCTTCAGAAATTAAACACCTGCTTTCAGAAGCCAAAAAACTATGAAGTTGCCTGATAAGTTGTATTTGTGTCCATTAGTATGAATTAACAAAACAATTAACCAGATTGTGCAAATAGCTTTGCCTGAGTAATTTCTCAAATAGATTTTTGTGGTTAAAACTATAGGTGTTTGTCTTTCTAGGTATTAATTAACAATGGATTTACTCCGGATAAGGAAGATTTTGAATTTTGTGCTAAAGTGGAAGATATGGTGTTGCCATCACAAGGATATTTTGGAATATCTGCAGCAACAGGGGGACTTGCAGGTAGAAAATGTTAAATTGTGGCAGACAGTGTGGAGACTTGCAAGAGACTTTTTTTTTTACACTTTTATGGCTGGTGTTGATCCATTATACTAATTTTTGACCTAATCTCTTCCTGTTTGAACTAATCTCCTCCTGTTCCCAAATAACTGAAATGCGTAGATCTTTTTCATGCCTAGCATAGAAATACCTTTAGTTTGTCCTGACAAAGATGTTGATCAGTCTCATTTGCTACTGCATAAACTTGGGAGGGCTTTGAGAGGATACTCTTAGCTGGAGATCCTTTACAAGTTGGAAGGTTGACCTGAAAAGTTGCAGGATATTTTATAATATGTAGCAGTACTCTATAGTATTGTTGGTTTTTTGTTTGTTTGTTTAATCCAGATGACCACGATGTCCTGTCTTTTCTGACTTTCCAGTTGACTGAGCCTGGGAAGGAAGTAGTAAGTGTCTCTATGCATAACTAGTAAAATGTGCTAATATATGTATAGCACCAGATCTTGGCATTTTTTTCTGCAGTCATAATTAGCATCCCTGTTTCTAAATTTTGGCATGGAGCTGTGCAGTCATCTGTTTTGGAAAAATAAGATCAATGCTATAGTATTTCAGTAGTTTAGTTACATTTAGGACCAGAACTCTTGAAGTAACACTGAATCGATGATAATCCTGATATTAAAACAAAAAATGCAAAGAAAACAAACAAAGGTACACTTTGGACAAATTTGTTTTCACTTTCAACTTTGCATTCCTGTAGAACACTTTTGTACTGTTAATCCTCATCTGTTCTTGTAAAACTTGACTTCTTTATAATTGCAGAAAGTAGGCTTTTCAGGAAAAAGCCATGAGTTTCCATGCGAATGCCTGGTTTCTTGCTTCTACGTTAATACATTGTTAACATATGTTAATACATGCGCTTCACAAATTGTCATGCCATCAGACCTGAAGTCTAGACAGCATTTGCTGGACAGTGTGTCATATAGGAGTGGTAGAAAATCTTCTCTCTTCCCCCTTACCTTTGATAATGTTTTAAAGCCCACACCAGATGCAGAAATTCCTCAAAAAGATAAAGAAAAATATCAAGAAGAGTTTGAACACTTTCAACAAGAATTGGATAAAAAGAAAGAAGAATTTCAAAAGGAGCATCCTGATGTTCAAGGACAGCCAGGCAAGTTATTTGAGCAGTTTTTGAGTTTTCAAGGAAAATGTTTGCTTTCCAGGATGTTCAAAACTAGGGCCTAATACTGTGGCATGCTGATCTTAACAAAGCTCCTACTGATTTTTGTATCCCTGTACCATATTTAAGAATCTTTGGTTTTGTGTTTGTGAAATGGTTTCCGTAATACGAGATCTCTTTCCTCTCAGGCTTCCTGAGGAGAGGAAGTGGAAAGGGATGTGCTGGACTGTGTTCCTTTGGAGCTGATGGCAGGATGCATGGGAATGGCAGAAAGCTGTTCAGATTGGATATTCGGAAAAATTTCTTCACTGTAAGGGTGGTCAAACATTGGAACAGGCTTCCCAGTGAGGTGGCTGATGCCCCAAGCCTGTCAGTGTTCGACAGTCCTCAGTAGTATACTTCAAATTTTGGTTAGCCCTGAAGTGGTCAGGAAGTTGTTCTTTGTGATCTTAAAAGGTCCCATCCAACTGAACTGTTCTGATTCATGCCTGTATTGAGAACAAAACAAATGAACAGAAACATATACAGACTTTAGAGATATATCCAATTATTGAAAGAAATATATTTAATTACTGGAAAAGTATGTTAGTGTGGAAACTTCAAGGGTGCAAGAAAAATGCAGTGCAACTTATGATGAATGCATATGTGTTAATTATTTCCTGTGCTTTTTTTTTTTTCTTACCAGCGGATGATCCTTTTGAAACTGTAAATGATCGTGAACTGAGGCAAATCTTTGAAGGGCAGAATCGAATTCATCTTGAAATCAAGCAGCTAAATAGACAATTGGACATGATTCTGGATGAGCAGAGAAGATATGTCTCTGCAGTCACAGATGAGATTGCTAAAAGAGGAGCTGGTGTTCCAGGTCAACAAGTACAGGTAACTCAAAAAGTAAACTGCAGTTGATATCTCTGCCTAATTTTGAAAGTGCAATCAATTATTTTTTCCAAGATATGTTGATTTGTTTTTCTCACCCTTTCCTGCCCCAACACCAGGTTTCCCAGCAAGAGATTGATACCGTTGTGAAAACTCAAGAAGAGGTCATTAGACAAGTGAATGAAATGAGGTAAATGCTTTCTTTTCTAAATATTAAGGCTGTGTTTTGAATTTTATTAGTTTCCACCTTTTAAGCCAAATTTGTTATTTCAGTAGAAGAATATGGGTAAACTTGAAATTTCTGTATGTGTTCCTTAGTGATGATTGTTCAATTTCTGTAATAAACATAAGTTTGTGTCCAGACAGTGGTTAAGCCCCCCTCATGTGCAGCACTTTATCATGAGGTTCTGCTGCAAAAGCAAGGTAAGTAGAGCACCTTTGGAACCACTTGGTTTCTGTAGAATGACTAGTTTGGTAACCTGCTACCTCATGAAAATTTCTTGCTCTGATTTTTAGGGCACTGATAACAACATGAGCATGAATGCCTTCACATTATAGCTGGTGAATCTTAATAAATAAATTATGTTGTACTGGAGTATCTTGTCATTTTATCAGGAGTATGCGGACAATAGGAGTTACATTGTGTGTGTGTGTATATATATATATATATATACATATTTTAGTGTAAGCAAAATCTGTTAAGGCATGTAAGTCTTCTGAAGGGAAGTTTTGTGCAAATGAAAATGTTCAGATTTCATTTCCACTGGGAATTCTTATTCATGGAGTATATGAAAAGGTGGTTCTGTTTCTAAGAGTTCAAGAACAAACAACAGCAAAATCCACAGATACCACTTAAAATAAATAAACAAAAATTTCAAGTCTTGCTGAACTACCAGGGTCAAAGAAAGGGTTGTCATCAGTGACGCAAACTTCAGCTGGCAGGCAGTCACTAACGGTGCACCTCGGGTTGGTAGTGGGGCCATTATTCTTCAAGCATCTTTATTAATGATGTGGACAGTAAGACTGGGTGCATCTTCAGCAGTTTTACAGGTGATGCAAATCAGGGAGTAGCGTTTGATACTCGCATGGTTGTGCAACCGTTCAGTGGGACCTGGACAGGCTGGAGAAGTGTTCCAACAAGAATCTCATGAAGTTAAAGGCAAGTGCAAAGTCCTGCAGCTGTGTAACTCCATCTATCAGTACAGGCAGGGGACTGATCGTCTGGAAGGCAGTTCTGTAGAAAAGAACTTGACTACTGGTAGACAAGTTGAATGTGGGACAGCAGTGTGCCCTTATGTTAAAGACCACGAACAGCATCTTGGGCTGCGTTAGGCAATGTTGCCAGTGTGTCAAAGGTGATGACTTGTCTTTTACTCAGCATTGGTGGCATCCCCTTGTGGGGTCTGGGGTCCCCCAGTATGACAGAGGCGTGGATGGTAGTAGAGGGAGTCCAGTAAACAACCATGACAATGATTAAGGGCACACAATGAAAGATAAGGGAGCTGGGAGAAATGATACAGACTGGAGAAAAGGCTCAGCAAGGTCTTAACAATGTGTGTAAACATCTGATTTTGGAGATGATGGGGGCTGGGGAAGATTTGGGGTGTGGGTGGTAGGGGAAGGAAGACAGAGCCAGTCTTCTCACTGGGTACCCAGTGACAGAATGGGAGGCAGTGGGCACAAACTGGAATACATGGAGTTCTGTTTGCTCTTCAGATGTAATAAATAAATAAATAAATTTTTTGCTTGTGATGGTAGTGAGACATTTAGTAGGTTGGTTGCCCAGAGAGGTTTTGCAGTCTCCATCCTTGGAGATGCTGGAAACCTGACTGTGACTTAAAATACCTTTTTTTGTTTAGTGGTAAGGGAAGTTGTCAAAAAATTGTTTTTCTAATTTGTGAATATTTAATGGTCTAACGTTTATTTGCTGTGTGAAAACTGCCTATCAGTTGATACTGATGCATCTTTTTGTAGCAAAAGATAATCACAGTAAAGGAGACTGACAGACACAGAACTTGCCTGATTGAGTTCAGTTGTGTGTCAGACTTGTCGGAATCAAATGTTAAGGCTCCTGATTTTATTGTTGTCTTGTTTTGTCTTTTGTCACAGGACTTTTGCCAGGACTTTTAACTTTCTCAGGAATCTTCTATATCTGCAAGGGCACTTGCAAGTTCCCAAATGATTAATAGTTTAGCTTTTAAGGTGTATATTTTTTAATTGATTGAGAAGTATGCTGTACTTTTCTAATTAAGTTACCAAATGAAGCAAAGATCTCCATGTTTAAGGTTCGATACTGCTAAAGTGGGTTTGAGAATGCCTGTCTTTCAAGGGGGTGTTTATATACTGCTTCCAAGATGTTTAACAATAGCTGTTGTTAGCTGGAATGTCTTTAAGTTGGTTTACTACTTCATTTTCAGTAGTTAAAACATATTATTTTTTGGCTTAAAAAAAATAATCAATTCTACAACTTGATATTGTGTATTGTGTATAAGCAATTGTTTGGTTGTTTTTTTTTGTGTGTGTTTTTCCTCTCTGGTATTAGTTCAGGGGCAGATCTTGTCATTCATCTAAGTAGGTCAGGTTTTTGTACAATGAAGATTAGAGTGCTTCTGTTTTTTTTTTTGTTTTTTTTTTTTTGCACTTGTTCTTCCACAGAAGCTTTAGCATTAATATTCTTGACAAATCTTTATACCTTACAAGCAAATTAGATTTTCTTGTTAACACTGGCAGTCTGCCCTTTCAGTGACTACTTACTAGGTATGAGTTTGTGTAACGTCGTCTTAATATTTTTCTTAGATTAAAGAAATGTTTTATTTATAGATAGAAATGAACAGCCCGCTGTTGGTATTGCTGGTCATCCCAGAGGAAAAGGACTTACTGTCTTAAGTAATTTTCTTGTCAAGATTTGGGGATTTCTTAATCATCTGATTACAGAAGAGTCTTGCATGTTCATACAGTAGAAACGAACAGCATGATATTGTTTATGCAAAAGTAAAGTAAATTAAATTTGATACAGACCATGTCTATTTAGGGAAGTTATTTTGCTTTTAACAAAGTGGATTAATCTGGGGAAAGGCGGGTATGCCGATTTCTGTTCATTACACAGGGATTCTGGTACAAGGAGAGAGATGTACCAAATGAGTCTCACTTGCATTCTAGCACTGAAAATAGTGGGCCAAGATAAACAATCAGCAATTATTAGGCAGTGGTCCCGCTGTTCATTGCATGGGTTTCCATGGGGTAGTTAGGAACAATTTCCAGTGGAAAAATTTTCTTCTAAAATAAGTTATTACAACACTAATTGTAAGAGCAGGTAAATAGTAACCAACTGACTTTATACATTAATAACATAAAAATATAAAACGTATAGATTATATGCTAATGCTATTCAGGATATGTTCATTTAATTCACGACAGATGGAAGTTTTTTTTTTTTTTTGCATTAATTTTGCCTGTATAAATACTATTGGTTCAAAGACAAAAATGTAGAATGAGTGAGAGATGTCTTACCTATCTTTGTTTGCAGCAGCTTGTAGAAGCAAGCAGCTATCTTTTGTTAAACCCTTTTGATAACTTCAATAGCTTTGTTTTTAGTATTGCAAGTACTGAGAGTTTTGCAGAAATCCATGCATACCTAGAGTGCAGCACATTATCTGTATTTAACAAATAAAACTGGAAAGTGGGTTGTCTTCCAATGTGCTGAAGTAGGATTGACTTTTCACAAACATGGAAGGAAAAGGGGAATTCTTGGATCATTACTGGAAGTGAGGAGAATTTTTTTTATGGAAGTATGCAGAATATTGTTTGTCTCATGTGAAGTTGATTGTCTGTGTGACACTTAAAAGGAAAAACTAGTAGTCTTTCATTTGGAGAAGAGTTATATCGTTAATCCTACATTTAAGAGGGGCTACAATTGCTAAGTGCCTTTTTTCTCTAGTGGTGTATCTGCAGCTTAATATAATTGAGTAGATTAATTCAATGTGTAGCTCTGACTTAACATGTAGCTACTTCAAGTAGTTGAGCATGCTGCAAAATTTTTGCCATGATGAGACAGCAGCTGTGAAACTAAATAATAACGTATCTGCGTTTGCAGTTTTTACCTAGATTTGTGGTAGTGCCTTTGAATCTGTATGGTACCTTTTTTTTTTTTTAAAAAAAAAAATTCTGTGTTTTGAACTTTAATGGCATAAAGAGCAACTGATGCAAAGCTAAAAGATGAGCACCACCTTTATGAAGATTCTTTGTAAACATCTAAGTTTTGATGCTTACCTTGCGATTTGCACAATGAATATAAACCATTTAAAATCAATAATAAAATTTTGTGAAGCGTTTATGTATTGTTGCTACCAGTTTTCTCAAGGAATGACGTTCTAGTGTGTTTTTTTTCTTAAGGTGCAAGTTAAATTGCTGACCACTGTACAAAGAGTTAGGACTTCACCTTGAAGGCATTAAAGTAAACCCTAATCTGAAGGAAAATGTGAAGTTTTAAGTAAATTAAACAGGAATCCAAAGACGTACATTTTGATTGCTTATTCTGTTAATAACGAAGAGATTAACATTCACATGATAAATATTTTAGCTGAAAATAATCCTCTTTGCAACTGAAAAGAGACATCATAGTAAGGGAAAACTATATAAACATATTGACTAGAGACTAAGTGTTTTTCTCTCACTGATTAGTTCACCTCAAACAAAACTAGGTATGGAACCTCAACTTTTCAGGGATTTAATATGATTTGTTAGAGCAGCAAAATGAATTCACATGGTAACAATATTAAGTATTATGACAGCGCATATAGGAAATGAGTTTCTCATATAAGTGATAATCATGAAACAAGGATGTATCTAAATCTTTTCTTATCCCTAAAGCCGCTTCTTTATTTTTATTTCTTACATGACTGCTTTTATTTATTTATTTTTATAAAACAGCTTTGGCTTTCTTCAAAGATTGTATTATACTCTGTTTATCCTAAAGCCTTGGCAAGAGCCTTAGATAAAGGACTTGTTTTAGACTTGATCAATCAAGCAAAGCAGATGTCTAGCAATAGAATATTTGCCAGATCTTGTTTTCTGTGTGACTTTGGGAGGTAGCACACTGTACAAATCGAAACTGTCTGCAGAATCAAATATTAAAGACAATAGTTTGGTTAAGGAATTGCCTCCTGAGAAGTATCCTTGGAAGCCAGAAGAATGTTTTCTGCCTTTTTGGGTACCTGTGTATTTCAGACTAATTTTAATGGACTGAAATGTGTCCAACATAAATGCTGTTTATATAAAAAAATGTTTTGTATTGAATGATGTTTTGTTGTCCGTCTTGCTTTAGGAATTCCATGGCTGATACTCTGAGGCTGATCAGTGGAGCTCAACATCCTGGTTCTGCTGCAGGAGTCTATGAAGCAAGTCAACACTTCAGTGACATCAAAGAACACCTCCACGTAGTAAAAAGGGACATTGAGCATTTAGTACAACGAAATATGGTAATTTGTGTGCTGTTAGTGTAAAGCATGACTGTAATGCTTCTTTATTTGGCTGTTGGTAAAAAGCTGGGATGAGCCAGCATGCAATTTACAGAGCAATTAATCCTTCATTAAGCTGCTTCGCTGAAACTGCACTGCCCTGACCCAACTGCATGATCTGTGTCTTGATGAGAAATTTTGCACAAAGAGCATGATTTTTAGTCTAGCTTCCTGTGGAAACAAGGTCAAGCAATTAAGTTTTGTAGGTGCTTTTGTGTTTGTACCCCTGCTTAACAGTTCCATATATAGGAGACTTTGTAAGCTTCTGCAGAGAAGGGAGAGGTTTAAACAGGGGAAACTTAGGAAAGCTCTGCTTCAGATACGTAAATGTTAAAGATGACTGTGTTAACATTCAGGAACACGTTAGTCTTACCTAGATAGCAATTAGGCTGAATTAGCTTATGAACCCATACAAGGTTGTTATTTTCTTTCTCCTGTGGTCCTTAGGTTATTGTTAGACAGGTTATCTGAGAAACAAAGAGGAAAGGGGAAAGTGAAAAACAGGGAGTTAAATTAACTTTCTCAAAGTAGTTGTCATTTTTGGCTGATTTCTGATTGTTTCAATTTTTAGATCATGGTGCACAGACCTTGTTTTGTTTCTTGCGTAGCAATCTTTTGATGGCATGTTGTTTCTCTTCTCAGATAACACTTTTCTTATTTCTTAGCCATCCAGTGAGAAATCAAAGTGTCCAGACTTGCCACCGTTTCCATCATGCTTATCTACAATGCACTTCTTCATATTTGTAGCAGTGCAAACAGTGTTATTCATTGCTTATATCATGTATAGGTAAGTATATCTTTCTTTAAAGACAACAGGGCAAATGATTTTAGAACTTCTGAGTAGAAATGCAATTGTGATGATATGATTATATTAATCTTCTTTAAAACAAGCAATCATTCAGATTGGAAGAGACCTTTTGAGGTCTTCAGTTCAGCCTGTTCAAGTTCTACTTGATTGTTATCTATCATTGTCTTAACATGCATCTCTAAATAAACAGCTCCTGTCTCTTCAATGACATCTTCTGGGTATTGGAAATTGCCATGAGACCTCTCAAAACCTTCTTTTGTCTAGGAAGAACAAGTCTAGTTCCTCATGCCTCTCCTCCTGAGGCATGCACTTCAGCCCCTGACCATCATCGTGGTCCCCTACTGGACTTACTGACGTTTATTAATATCTTAACAAAATCTGACATGATCTGAGTTTTTGCTACATGTGCCTAACAGCTTTTGTCTGATTTGACAGATTTGTCAGTGAACTTTTTTTTATGATACGTATCCTATGTAAGAGACAGATAAGGAGATACTGATGTTTTATGGAGTTCTTAGCATTGGAGGGGTGGGTTGTGTTTTTTTTTTTCTTGGTGGTTGTTGTTCGGTTTTTACATTGGGATGTTTGCTGTATTCTCTTCTTCTTTGTAGCATCATAACATTCAAATTAAATGTCAGTGGAAAGGGAAACCTATTGAGAATATGGACTTACTTGTGTGGTGGTCCTGTTTCTCTCATACGTGGACACTTCTTTGGAATAAAAGGACCAAAACAGCTGCAGTGCTTTTCAAAGAGAAAATGCTGTTTGCTACCTTTATGGAAGAATAACTAGTATTAATATAATATAAATGCTGCTCTGATATCATCAACTTTTATTGTATGTCTGCTTCTTCACAAAGTAGGGAGGTTTTTTTTAATGTCATGTTATGTCATCAACTGGGAAATGACTTCCAAGATAAATGAGGAGCTGGTCACCTTCAATTCTTTCTGATGCCCTTGCACTTCTATTTGTGTGTGTGTGTCTCTATCTAGTACAGTATCTATATCCACTAAAGAAAATAATTTTCTGTGCCAGAGTGAAAAAGTCCTATTTCTATTTCAAGCAAGTTCTTATGCTGCTTAATTGCACATTTCCTCTTCTGTCATGATCTTTAGGAAAATCAGATATTGAGAAGCCTTAGAGAAAATCAATTAGAGAATTTTAATAATAAATTAATAAGCTCTTCCACAGTTTTTTCTACCCAGAATGTTTCCATCTGATGCAAAATTGGAACTATAGTCATGCTTCCTTTATATTTGTGAATAGAGTAACTTATATACTGTTTTTGTGATGCAACTTAGGTTTGATTTCTTTAAGCTTCTGTTGAAGGGGAATGGAATCTTTTAATCCCAAAATAAAAGAACGAACTATCTAAACCAGTTAGGTAATCTTTTACTGTACATACATAATGAATTCTCTCCTGGTTTTTCTTTCAGGAGTCAACAAGAAGCAGCAGCCAAAAAGTTCTTTTGATGACCTCTTCCTTTTGTGTGTACATAACATCAGTATGTATGCACAGAAAATCATACAGCTCTGTGAATGAGGGAAAACTTAGTGTTTGATATACTTCAATATTGTAAATTATTTAATTTTGTTAAACCATCTTCTCATTTCAACTGTTAATATTAAAGTTAAAAATGGACTGGGGAGCAGCAGAGCAAATGCTAGGAAGGGGGGAAGGCTGCGGACCCTATCTAGGGCTCTGTTCTCAATGAGGTTTCTGATAAATACTGGAAGGTGTTTACTGTATTCCTCTTTTGTTAAAATTTCAGAGGAGGGATTTAAAATAAGCATGTTTGGTGGCTGTTGATAATGGGAATTTGTGAATTGATGATTTGTGCAGAAAACTTGCCACTAAGTATCCATATCAGATTTAGAAAACAACAACACACACAATTCCCCAAAACCCTCTAAAACCAAAAATTTAAATCAAAACAAAACTACACCTCTCTATTGTGAGGGGAGGAAAACTTGTTATAAACATTTCATTTCTTTCCTATTTGGATCTAATGGCTTAAGAATGATTTTGGAAATTCTAACTCCTTGTGATATACAGATTCTAACTTTTCTTTAGTACATGGATGCAAAGACAGTCCTGCTAACTGTTAAGTTAGACTGCTGGTATCTGGTATAGAACAAACTATACAAGATAAGCAAACAAAGTCTTATCTCCTTATTTTGGGTACTGTTTTTAGGCAGTGAGCAAAAAAAAAACAAAAACATCATCAAGTAGTTTCTTCAGATATATTTGGATTGATTTCTTTTTTGTAGTTTTAAGTCTGTCTGTAATCTTGTTTGGAGACTTTTTGGAACTTTTTCAACAGAGATGCCATTGCTTTATACCATTTCCTATCTGATTTCAAGATATGTTGAATTTGGAAATATGCCTTTACTGTTATAAAGCTGTCTTGTATCTATCATGTATCAAATACAGATGCTTTGATTTAAATATTGACATGGCAAGTATTCTAAACTACAAATATTGAATGTTAACAACTTTCCTTGCAGACTGTTGCTTCAGAAATGTTTGTTAGTCCAGCAGCTATTGTAGAACCAGTATTGTGTATCAATTCCTGGTTTAATACCTAACGTGTAAGATTGAACGTGTTTTTCTTTTGATGTTGCTAATCAGATGAACATTTGTTTCTGAAACGAAACAAAGCAGAAAGCCCAAATTAGAAATGTGAAATTAATTTGTTTTGACTTGTTTACATATCTGTGGTAACTTTGTCTTTAAGTTGTTTACGTGTAGAGTTAGAATAGTTTTGTTTTTCTTCTAGTTCTATAAAATACACAAATGTCTCTGGATGTTTCTCTTTGAATCACAAATTTGACTGAAAACCTGCAAAATTTGTCTGGAACCTAGTATACTACTCCTGCAGTTCTCCAGTCTGTTCTTCTGGGAGTGCAATGCGTGCTGCCAAATTCACTGTTACGAAGAACACTTCTAGCATTGTGCCTGACAATTTGGAGAAATGATAAATCTATGCAATACACTTTGTTACTGAAAAGGCAGTGCCCCAAAAGTGGGTGTCTGTGCTATACCAGTAAAATTATACTACCTACACACCTGTTTACATAGCTATGCTGTGTAGCATACTGGTATAGCTTTATAGATTCATTTCTGAAGTTGAGATTTTGGTGTACTAATTGGAGAAACTACTGCCTCAAGCTCATGTTCCTGGATAAGTAGGATAAGTAAATGAAAACCTTTTCAGAGAATGCAGAGTAACACACAGGAATTTATCCATTCAGTTCTAACACCAGCAAATATTTACAGGTGCCTTGAGTCCAAACTATTACAACCCTGACTTTTTTCACTAAGCTTAATATATTTTCTTAAATTGTTCTGAAGATATACGTTGTTATTCTTGTCAATTGCTAGCTTTCTTGCATCAGTGCAACACCTAAATGAACTCCCTCTCTCAAAGCAGGCTTTGCAAGACCCTTTGTACAGAAAGGCTAATGACTGTATTCTAATGAATTAGGTGCATAGGTCTGGTGTAATGAGGAACAGCTCCAGTGTATGTGTTGGAGGAAGCCTGTATTTCTTGTTACTGTGAATTTCTCCAATTATAACTGTTTCAAAGCTGGACGCCCCATACTGTTGTGTGGTTTCTTGGGAAAAAGGGAGGGCTGGGACTGGGGGTTAGGGGCAAACTTGCATCAACAGCTACATCTCATATGGGGTTCAGCTTCTGTGTTTACCCTGCTAGTATATCTGACCTGTCTCCCATGTGGGAACCATTTGCATTAGGGAGCAGAAGGTCTGATGTGTAACATCCTACAAGTGATAACTTTGCTTCATGCTTCATTTCACAGTCATTGCTCCCTGGAACATCAGTAATTGCTTCACAGCTCACTGGATCAAAGGAAAACTCCCAATTACACAGACCAAATTTTGTTCTGGCTACTCTTGAAGTGCTAGCGACAAATCTGGATTTTAAGAATTTTTGTCAGTTAATGTAGCCTTTTGATACGAAGTTTCTCTCAACACTGATAACGTATTTCATTTTGTCAAGTAAGATTTCAGGACTAAGAGAAGACAACTTTCAATCCAATTTGACAATATGACGGGAGAGCGAATCTAATACCAGTATTTGAAGTGTGAATGATAAGTGGCAAATACTTTGCTGTGACAAGGGTATCTCATTGTATTAGAGTATACTAAATAAATAGTCACACCTGAATCTTTCAAGCAAAATTCAGTAGTTCTAAATTACCTAACTTCCTGTTTGAAGAAAATCTGACATTTATCATTGATTGCATCAATTACTGTAACACCGAAGACTGTCTAGTTTGGTTTTTTGTTTGTTTGTTTGTTTTTGTTTTTTAAAAAAAGTGAACAGCTGACATTTCCATATGTTTGTTTCTGAATAATGTAAATTGGTGGTTGGAGTTTGGAAATAACCTTATTTGAATAAAGATGCATATTTTTAGTAAACTTCTTTCTTTTAATCTGGTATGTGTTACTGAAGTCTGAGTGTATTGGAAGCATTCTTGATGCTGTTCTTCAGAACAAAAGAACAAAAGACTAAAACATAACTCTAATCAGAACTGGATTTGCTCAAAAGCTTGTATGAAGAGTATCAGATATGTAGGGTCAGGTGAAAAGTACTGTGTCAACTTCGAAGTCTCTTAACAGTAAATCAAGTTGTTTGCTGGCTGCTTTGATCATACAAAGTACCTAATTTTTTTGAGCTCAAGATTGCTGGTATGTCTGTAGTTCATTTTCCAAGTTCCCCAAATTGCCCTCATCTGTGTGCTCTGCCCTGGTTTAGGTTTATTAAAAAACAGCATGTCTACCCAAAACAAGATAGTCTCAATGGGTTTTGTGCGTGTGTGCGTTTTTTTGTTGTTGTTGTTTTTAATTTATACTGTTCTGTCCAGTAAATCATCTGTAGTAATCTCTCACAGGAAGATTAAGCATCCCCTCATTGACTATGATTTTTCCCCAACCAGGAACAAATTGCCTGATAGGTGGGTGGGTCTTGACTTGAACCTGTTCAAGCTGAGAAAGACCTAAAATTCCTATTTCTGTCTTTCTCTGCAAATGGTCTGAAGTTCAGACTTACATAAAAGCAACATCCTGTTCTAGAGGGACGAAGAGGTGGGAGAGTCTGGGCCCTTTCAAAGAACACTTAGCTACTTCTGGATGACGTGGTTGGTGGTGTCTGCTGTGACCCTGTTTTGGGAACACGTTCTCAGGTCTGGATGCTTGCCTGTCAATAGCATTTTTGTGCTGTCTTGTCTGTGAGGCTTTTGGACTTTGCCCTTTGTGAATTGCCTGTTTTGGGACTCCAAATTCTATTCTGAGGTTGCAGGTGCCTCTGTTCTTTAGATGCAGAACTTGGGCTTTTTTTCTTTTCACATTGTCCAGTTCAGATAACACTGGAAATAAGCCTTTAATTAAGTTTTTGTTTAAGTTATAGGGGAAGGTCATTGATTTAAAGCCAAGGAAGTAGCAACACCAGTACTTAATAAGCAGCCGACTGTATGCTTCTATTAAATCTGTGATTCCTGTAATCAACAAAAAGTTGTAAGTGGTTTGTAACCGGTACAGGCAGTGGTTACAGCACCTCTCAAGAGCAGGAATTACTTTGGAGATTCCAGTCCTTGACACCCAGGGTAGGTAACTAGGTAGCACTGCGAGCAACGTGTTCCTTATTGGACCGAGTGTTTATTATTTGCTGAATCCATAATGAAGTCAGCAGTTCACTAGTTAGTTTTATTTAGTCTTACAAAGTTTCACAGCTAGTCTGTGTTTCGTAGGGTTTCCAGTGCCAGTAGGGTCAATAACTTTCAAAGTACTTGTCTGTTTCTTCCATTTCAAATCAGACATTAGAAACCCTTTTGCTCTTTGGTTTATGAGACCTATGTCAAGACCTGGAGGGCAAGATCTCAGGTTCATAGCAACCACTTTCCAAGACAGTTTTCAGCTTTCTTGCCTTCTCAGTCTCTCATTGTGTGAATGCATCTTATGCAACCTTCCTCTCCTTTCTCTTTTAGGCAGAAAGGGGTACCAGCAATATTTCTGTAGTGACTGAAGTCAGGGAAAGTTCTCCTCAGTAAAGACCAGTAGCTCAAAGAATAACAGAAGTCTCTGAAACCTATTAATTGAAAGCAGTGCTGCATGTCACATTTTTGAGCGCACTGTGCAAATGCATTGCTCCTGTTGGAGCTTTTGATACAGATGAGCCAAACACTTCAAGAGGACTTGAGAAGCAGTTGGCACTAAGTGGTGATGTTGTGGGCCAGCATTCTAACAATCAAATGGCTGTCAAAGCTCAGAGAACACGCTAACAATCAAAAGGTACTTTTATCTGATCTTAAACTTCTTATGCAATTTAAACTTATGCAATTTATGCATAGCTCTGAAAGTGCAGAGTGATTATCAAAATCAATTTTGATTAAAAAAAAAAAAAAACGCAACTGTTTCATAGGTATAGATATTCTATCAAAGAAATTTTGTTGTGATTTTGAGTTCTTGCTGCTGAGTGATACTCTGTTTCAAAAATAAATTCAAAGGTTCTTGTTTAATCACTAATAATTCAGGATTACAGAAGGTCCTGGTATTTTTTTTTTCTTTTTCCATTTTAAAATAGTAACAGGTCTGCTTTAATTAGAAAGGCTCTAATGCAGATTAAGGCATTAGGCAAACTAGAAATCCTCCCATCTCTCAGTGAAATTATGAGAGTGCTAGGAGAACCACTTAGATAATCAAGACGACAGGATATTTCATTATGCCACATGCAGCTAGTCGAAGTACAATAAATATTCAAAACTCCAAATCATGAACATTTGAGACTTAGTAGGTAGTCAAATAGCCTATGATTTAGGTAGCAGATCTTGCAAATCTTCAGCTGAATAAACCTGATGAAGCTAACGATGTGAACAAAAGTTTGACAGATTAGAAACCTAGCACCAGCAGCCCACAAATAATAGCTCAGTAAGATTTATTTCTCCTTTATTCTATGCAGCACCAGTCAAGGTGGTGATCTAATTGGATAGAGCCTAGGGAAGAGTGAAATAAACCACAAGGAATGAACACTAAGAAAACACAATGTGATTCCCTTCAAAAGAAAAAAAGTAATGATGACAGTAATGCCCCATTCATCTGTGAGACAAACAAATCATATGAAAAGGGAATTAAAATTCCATGTACTTTCTGTCCAATGTGATAACATATTACTGGATAAAAATGATTTTTTTTTTTTTCTTAATGAAGAATTCCAGTTTTCAAATCTCATTGGACTGTGTAAACCTCAAAGGATTTTCTGCTCAGTAGCCCAGAATTTGCAGTTTTATTATAGCCATTTAGTCAACCAGGCTTTTATTTCACATTGATTGTTTCCTTGGAAAATTTTTTGGTCTTTGTGAGAGTTTTGAGATGGAAGATGTCAAAGGGATGTTGCACACAATAATTTTTATATATATATATACACACATATATATATAATTAGCTTACGGTATTAATATAAAAAGTAGGTAGCTGCATCTAATGATTTTTTTTTGAGTAATCTGAACCATCTGCCTCTAGATATTAAGGAGTTCACTCTTTAATCCAGATTATGGCTGACAAACTGGTGTTGGCATTCACGTTTCACTAGTGCTGTGCCCTTGAAGAGCTGCTGTGGCTGTAGAAACTCTCTTATGACTGTCAGTTTTGAAAACATTTTTTTGTTTGGCTTGGCTTTCTTGTAGTTGTTTTCTTGTAGCTCTTTTTTTTTTTTTTTTTTTTTTTTTTTTTATTGAGGAGAGGATGGCCTTCCTAATGAAAAGTATGTTGAGCAACCAGGTAAAGAATTTGGGACTTGGAGGCGGAGGGGAAGAAAACAAGGAAGAAAGCACTCCTTCTGACCCAGCAGCCGCTGCAGGAATGACCAGAGAGGAGTATGAGGAATATCAAAAGCAAGTGGTTGAGGAGAAGTGAGTACCTGATGCTTATTACCATTATGGGGCTGATTCTTTGTGACTTTGTGCAGGTAAAAATAACCCAAGAAGAAGACAGACATTCCTAGGGTTAGGGCTCCAAACATATATATATATATATATTTTTTTTTTAGCAGAAAAGCCTTTTTTGGAGAAGCTTTCCAAAATAAAACTTCACCAACTGTAAATGATAAACTATTGTATTCCCCCTTCTCCCCCCTCATCCTACAACTCTTTCCTACACTCTCCTGCTCTCACCACAGCTTGATGTGTTGGATTAATCCTTAATTGGAGTTGCCTTATATATAACACTTCTTTCACATGTACAAAGGTGGTTATATTGTAGTAGTTGATTTTAAAATCCATATGATTTGCTCTCCTAGAACTCTATGTGTAGTACACTTTACATGTATAATTCTTTCTTGGTCCATGTTTATCATGGCAGACACAGAAAAAGTAATGAGTGCTATGTAAAACAGCTAATATCTATCTAGACATAAGTTTTAAGATGGTTATTTCTTCTAGTTGCATTTTTAGTTACTTTTCCTAAAATCTACTTGAATAAAGCAGAACTTTTCAGATGATTAAATGTCATTAATGTAATTTTTTTTTCTGTAGTTATAATCTTCACCACTTGTTATGTTCCAATATCAAAACAGAAGTAAAATAAAGGACTTTTAGTGTAAGTCAAATCATGCATAATTTATAATTGCTTTCTTTATAAGAAAACAATTGACTTTTAAATCTCAGGTGCATCTGTTCTTCTAATGATCAATTACATAATGGTTGTGTAAATCCTTCACGTAAGATGATTATAGGTGAAAGGCTAATGACTGACGGAATTTGAGGTATCCAGGTCTGTATTTAGCAGCAGCTGTTTCTATCATAAAACCTTGAGTGGGTAATACTCATTTTTGAATAAAATGCAGAATTTTTTGCTATGTCTTTTTGTCACAGGATATTTGAAAGAGAGAAAGTCAAACCAGGATTCCTGGAATGGGAAGAATGCAGGAAAAACTATTACTTGTATGAAGTTTTCAAGTGTGGCATGTCCATTACATACAGAAATGTATTGAGGAGTCACTGCAGGAGCACTTCTGAAAGTACAATTTGGAACTACAGTAGGAACATCTGCAGTACTTTCAGAGAGAAGATGTGGCTGAGGATAGCACATGCTGTGTGGTTATGTAAATGTGTGTCAGAAATCTTCGGCACAGGCAGAACATCTGCTCAAGGGCTGTCTGGATTTTACCCAGCTTTCAGCTGTACAGAGTGGAGGTCAGGGATGTAAAGTGCCTTGCTGGAGTCATACTCAGGCACCTTGATACATGAGTGTCCTGTCTTTTTTGTTGTTGTTTGTTTTGTTTTGTTTTGTTTTGTTTTGTTTTGTGACTAACCCACAAAAATTCAAGGACTGCTGTTTCTCAGCAAAGTGCAGAGACAAACAGCTGGCTTGTGCCAGCAGTTTCCAGCATGGTTCTAGAGTTTGTCTCCAGCATCACAAGAGTTTAAAAGCAAGGGGGGGGGGGGGGGGGGGGGGCACCAGTTTGTGCTGTACATCAACTCCTGGCTGTCATGCAACAACCCTTATATCTGCTTCCTGTAGCCACAAATCTTCACATTCCTGGGAATAACTAAATCCTCCAGAACAACAGGGTGTAAGATCAGGGCCCAGGCAATGGTGGAAGATTGCCAAGTCTTCCTGTGATGCCAGAACAAGTGAAAAGCTCAGATCTACCTAAATAGAAAACCACCTCCTTCCCCTGAGCCTCACAGAGCACCCAAAGGGATCTGTAACATCGCAGGGAGCACTACCCTGTGGGAACATATCCCGACACCAGCCTGGGCCAGTACGGGCTCCTGTGGAGAAGGAATGGGCAGGAGAAGAGGAAGGTTGAGAAAGAAGGCAAAAATGTGCAGGAAGTGCAAAAAAGAACCCTTTTCCCAATCATCCCATCTATTACTGGATGAAAGAAGTTTAAGATGGCTTGCAGTTGATGTGAACTAGTTCTTTTAAAAAATGAGAGAGAGGAAGAGTAATGCAAAAACTCTTTTGTGGAAGCAGAGGAAAGGTAATATTTCATTCCAATGTGACAAATTTTCAACATGATAAAATATCTATACTGGAACAAAACAATTTTGCCTGAGAATTTCTATGAAGCTTCTTCTGAAAAAAAAAATAAAAATAAAAATAAAAATCAAATATTACCAGAAATCATCTTTGACAACACACATTTTGAAATAAATATCTAAGTAATCTAACAAAGAATTTTTATGAAGAATCTTTAAATTGAATTAAAGCATTTTATAAAATCACAGGCAAAAGAAGCACTTTTCCACAGAGAGAAGCTGTGGAGTCAGTTGTTATAGGATGCTCTGGAGCAATAAATGATTAAGAAAGGACTGGGAAAATTTACAGATGACAAAAGCCATCCAAAGCTATTGAAGATGATGTAGGGCCAATTTCCAGCTCCAGCAGTCCCTAAAGTAATGCATTTAGGAAGCTGGACGGTTATGATACAGGATGCCTATCCTGCTCTTAAATTCTGTGTTTGTCTGCCACTGTCCACTGTTGTAGACAGGACTCTAGGATAGGTGAAGTTTTTGGTCTGACCTAGCAAAACATTCTACCATGGGTTTCCAAGCTAGAAGAATGTCCTGCTTGCAGAACAGGAACATTGCCATCACTGTGAGTGCACGTGGTGGGATAAACAAGGAACAAGCATAAATTTTCTGCTTTGTGTATTAGAATTGCTACAGCGAGCAATAACAGCCTGTACTGACACAAACTCCAGACAAGCAGTATTTCATTCTTCATAGTACTTAAGGGAGGTGCACTGAGAGCAAGCTTGGGATTCAGGAATTTGAGCCCCTGAGCATCACTTTGTTGTTATCACTCTTTTTGTGCCTGTGAGCAAGTTACATGACTTCAGGAATAACTTCTGCCATTGTAACAGACAGTATTTCATCAGTATCTTGAAGAACCTTTTTTTTTTTTCCCCTTTTTTATTTTTTTTTCTTTTTCTTTCTGATTTCCAGGATGGAAAGAGATGCAGCCTTTGCACAGAAAAAGGCAGAGAGAGCCTGTCTGAGGGTTCATCTGAGAGAAAAGTACAGACTCCCTAAGGTAAGCCTGTAGTTTGTGACTTCACCTACCTCAGTGGCTGTTTTTAGAGCAGACAGCGCCCGTGCAGAACTCCGAAAGCAGCCAACTGCCTTCGTTAGCAAGATCCTTGCTGCAGCTCAGTACAGAAGCCAAGGTGGCCACAGCTATGGATTTTCCTAGTGACTGCTGGTTTTAGACCCCTTTTTTCCTTCTCAGTAGATGAATTAAATAGAAAGATTCTTGTAGTAATCTCTGTAATGTCAGATCTGAAATAGGAGACCTGGCAAGCTGGACATCTGGTCTGACTGAGCCTTGCAGCTAGTACTTATGTTCTTAAATCAGCAACATACACCAGTTAAATAAAAAAAAAAATACAATAATAAACCAGAAAGTAAATAAGCAAAACTACTGAAAACTCTTCTACAAGCTGTACACTTGAACTCTCCAAACTTCTGAGTGCTCATTTGTATTATCGTCTTTCAAGTAGGGCAAACAGTCCATTCTTTATTTCTTTAGTGCTGCTTTTCCTTATTGCTGCCTTATTTTGCAATGTATTCCCAGAAAACAAAACAAAACATAACAAATATATAGAGGTAGACATCAGAAGCTGCAAACAACTGAAATGTGGAGGTTTGTTAAAAGCAGGAAGCAGCCGTGATAACTTCTGGGTCGTGGCAGAAAGCCCAGGTGGCAACTTAGGTTGCGAACAGTCAGTCAGTCTCTTCTGTGGGAGTGAATCAGAGGAATTTTCTCCACTCAGGGTTGTCAGAGGAGGTTGTTACACCATGCACAGTACTCCAGGGCCATGGGGTATTTAGCCAAGAGTTGTAAAGGACTTTCAGATTATGAATGGCCATACTTACCGAGGTACTCTGTCTGCCATTGAATCTCAGAAGATGGCAAATGTGAACATGTTTTCAAAAAAAAAAAAAAAAAAAAAGTCTCCATAAGATATAGATGGGAAAATAAATCAGTAACTGACTTATTTAAAGGAAATGTGGGGAAAACGGGGAAAACTACCAAAGATAGCTAACAGATATATGGACAAAAATCATGTGATGGGAAGAAGAGTAAAAAGACCTTTATATCAGACAGCCCAACCTTTCAAATTGATCACCATGCTCTGATGAGATGACTAATTATAAAGGTGAAAATGATTAGTTTTAGATTAAAAAAAAAAAAACACCTTTGGTCAAATTCCTTCCCCAGAGGCTCTTTGAAAAAAAACAAACTGTAGTAGAACGGGAAGGAAGGTCCATGAAGTACTAAATATTTAAAAGCTAGGAGAAAAAGGACAGTAATGATGAGTCCTCACAATGGAGAGGGTAAGCAATAAGATTTTTGCGAAAAATCTGAGCTGTTTAACATATTCAGTAATTAGCTGGGGGAGTTCAATGTACAGAAGTGTTAAGGGTGTTGAAATTAAAACTTGCTTAAGCAGTTACAGGAAACGATAATGATAGTGAGTGAATGGGCAGTGAAACGCTGCATGAGGTGCACTGCAAGAGTAGTGAAAGAAGAAAAACCCGCCCTATCTCTGCATGTTATGGATGGGTGGTTTCAAATGAACTGCTACCAGTCAAGAAAGAGATCTCAAAGTCATTGCAAATGAGTCACAGAAAACATCAGAGGAGTCCTCACTGGTGTCCAAGGGGAAATAGAAATTTCAAGAATCATTAGGAAAGGGATTGACACCAAAATCAGAAAACATTATTAGGTTACATCAGCAGTCTTTAACAACTTGAAACTGGAATGCAATTTTAATCACTCTGTCTTAAAATGATAGGAGAACAACAAAAGCAATCTGCAGTTTCGGATGGCCTTGGCACAAGCATCGGTTAAACGTGCCTGTGAGGGGATGCAATGGAGATGTGTCAATTCATGACCACTGTAAAGGAAGTAAATAGAGAACAATAATACACTATTTCTAAACATCAGATGAAATCAAAAGTATTCCACAGAAAGTTTCAATCACTAGTGGAAGCCTGAGTGCTGATGTTAGGTTAGATACCTGTTTTCTTACAGTTGTTCGTAGTTGTTAGATTAGATGAATCCCATCCCTGTGCCCTAAGCTCTGACTTTTGTTGTCTAAATTCCTTTGAATATACAGTGAAAATATGAAATACCCCCCCCATTGTTTTTTTTTTTTTTTTTTTTTTTTTTTTTTTTTTTTTCCCCAAAGGACAAGGATCATTGTTTTCCAATTCATGCAATATCTCCCTGTCATCCTGAAGCATTTAATGGTACTCTACTCAAACATCTGTAAAGTTGAAGTTACATTTAGTTCCCATTCATTTTGAAGAAGTAACTGAAGACTCATGTGTGCAAATTACTACCATGCACTTAGGGACTCCCTAAAATTTGAGATTGTTCTCTGGGCCACAGAATTGAAAGCCTATGAGTTAGTTCAACCAAGTGTTTTTTGGCATGCGGGTGTTGTCCATTAGTTATGCTTTTCCATTTTATCCAGAGTACGCTGCACTGTTTGCTCCAACACAGAGAAAATAACTCGTGATTCTGTGCTTTGAAAGATTGTTTTTATGTTTATTTCATAGGCTTCTTCAACAGGCAGGAAAGCAGTAGTATGGAACAGTGTTTGCTCAGAACTGCTACTGCCAGGAAATGTTAGTGTTTTTAAAAATTTAATTTATATCCCCCAAGGAAGCATTTTCTTCTTAGCAGTTTTGGAGCTTGCTAATATTACTGTTACTTGCCTGCCAGCTCTGAGTCGTTACTGTTTATTTTCTGGTCAGTATTTCTCATTGTTTTGCTGGTTAATTAAAAAGGAGGAAGGTGAAGAATCCATCATATGTACACTTAGCTGCTAAAAAAATTAGCACTTGATGCAATACAGCCACTCAGGGACTCTGTCATCAATGGAAAGAAACGAGCATGAAACCTCATCTAGCCAAACCTCCAGATAGGTGTTTAAGGTGGAGTTGGCTCACCTCCATGCATGCCTCCCACAGAAGGGGTCACATTGCTACGTTAGACTAGCTGAAGTTAGGCGAGAAGCATTCCACCCCTAATCCATAAAACACTGGTTCTTATAGAAAGAATCATAGAAACACAAGGTTGGAAAGGACCCACAGGATCATCTAGTCCAACCATCCTTCCATTACCATTACTACCTATTACTAAAATAGCAGTAAGCACAAATGAAAGCTTAAGAACACTTTCTATTACTATAAAAATAAATAATTTATACTCTGCTTTAGCTGGAATTAGCAGAACAATCCCATCTTTCACTCTATGCTCACAAACTTGAGCTTGAACCTGAACTTAGTGAGACGCTGGGGTGTCCTAAATTTCTGGGCTCATTGCCAGCTTGGTTTTAAGAGGAGAGTGCAGGTTGTGATCTCAAGTCTTACTGACAGGACAGTGAACAGCAGAAGATTTGAATGGCCTTGCAACTTTTGGCCTTGTTTATCAGGCACTGTAGAGCACTGCAGTGAGGAAATCAATGCACCAAAAGGCTTCGATGTCTCCTGGAGAACAAGGAAGTTTGTCTTTGCTTGAATCAATGCTGTCTTAAGCAGTGTTACAAATAGTTCCCAGAGACTGTGTAGTTTGGACTCTTACAAGGAGGGAGAAGAATATTTGTGTCTTGAGTTTACTGAATTTCTCTACAATGCACATGCATAACATTTATTCATTCTATGCTCTGGTTTCTCATCTATGGTTCAGCCTAGCAAGCACTGCAGCTCTGCATGAGGTGCCCATGACACAGCTTCTCCAGCTGCTCTTGTTGGCCTGGCAGATTCACTGGGTGAAGGGGGGAAGCTCAGGAAGCACTCCCTTCCCTGGGTTCGTCCTGACACAAACAGCAGTGGCTGCACTCCTGCAGCCTGCTGCCCTGCAGGCAGCCTTCCCTCTGCTGACCCCAGGCTGCGTCTCTCCCTGGGCTCGGGCCTGTGCAGTGGCACTGAGTAAAGGTCACTTCTGGAAGGGCTTTGCAGACTCAAGTTTGTGTAGCCTGCTTATTCCCCTATTGTTAAAAAGTCATGTGAGTTCTCCCAGGAATTACTGAGCCTGAGCACTAGTGGTTTATATGCTATTAAACTGCTCTTAGCCTGGTTACCCTTTCAATGCTTGCAAAGGATTTCTTAAGAGATTTATTCTTCCAGCTTCGTTAAGATGTGCTTCAGGTACAGTTATGTGAAATACAACTTCAGTGACTTACTGAAATTTTGTCATTTGAGCAAATGCTTCCTGAAAATGCCTCCTGGCTGTTGCCTGGATTTCCCTGTTTGCTTTTACCTTCACAAATATTGTTATGACCTTGTGATCTGTGTGGTCTCTGTGTTGTTGTTGTTGTTGTTTTTTGTTTGTTTGTTTGTTTGTTTTTTGTTTGTTTGTTTTGTTTTTTTTTGCCTCTCCTGCAGTCAGCAGATTTTGGGGCTTGCTGGTCCATCAGTCACATGAAGATATGGATTTCTCTGTGTTTTGGTGGCCCTTGTCATGTCACTCAGCTTCCAAATGGGATGAACTCAGTTGTGTTTAACTAAAGTCCTATGTTCTTGCTCTGTGATGCATAACTGCAAAGGTATTCAGGTGATAAACTCCAAGGAATTTCAAGAAAATTAAGAACCCATATTCTTCATTGATTTTGAGCCCAGGTAGATAGAATTTTTCTTATTATACCAGTGTAATTACAATATTCTAGCAGTAAGTAGCCCACATTTTCCAGCCCTTTCTGTTCTGGGATGAGACATTTAATTGGGATGATGGCCCTGGTCAAGGTTGAGAACTACCCATGAAACTTCTCCGTTTCTATATTAATTAAGCAGCAGCAATGGGATTAATTATGAACAGGAAGTCCAACACACTCAAAATATTCTCCACTAATAAACTATTAATACCCCAGGGTATTTCATTTGTGATTGCTCAGGGTTGCCATCACAGAGGTCATGTAACAGCAGGGAACACTGAGTCACCCCAAGGCTAGTGGTGACCCAACTTAAAGAAAAGCTGAAGGAAAAACCTTCCCAGGAGCTGCCGAGTCCTGCAATTTTACCTTT